TATGCTTGGCATATACTTTTTTCTGGCAGAGATTTCCTCATCCATATTGATCAATGTGAATAGAGGAATCTGTTAGGTTCTTTTTTTTGTTCAGTCCACAGACTGAATGAAAAAAGTACATTACATGTATACCCAACATTAGAAGTGTGGGGTGGATATGTGGTGGAAGCTTCTAATGTTGGACATACACTTGTTCAGGTAAAGATTTCTTCGTCTACATCAATTGATGTGAATGAAGAATCTGTTCCTTTTTTTTTGTTCAGCGCATATGCTGAATTAAAAAAAAGAACATTACATATATGCCCAACTTTAGGAGTGTGGCAGAAACTACTAATGCTGGGCATACATATAATGTTTTTAGACCCCCCCCCCCCCCCAAATTACCCACTTTTTTGGAAAGTAGACACCCCAAGGAATTTGCTGAGAGGCTGAGTTGAGTCTTTGAAAGATCTTTAATCTCTTGGCGCCGGCCACACGCAAATGTGGGCCTTGATGCCGAGCGGCCGCACATTTGCGTGCAATTAAGAAAATGTTCTGAGAGCGCGCACCCTGCACACTCCCAGCACACATGTCCAGGTGCTCACGAAAGGTCCCGATCTGCTCTTGCGATTGGGACCTTTCCCGATCATGTGATCGCCGTGATAACGAATCATGGCGGTCACATGACCCAAAACCTCACCCCGCCTCCCAGCTTCTGAAAACCTTAATGGGCCGGGAGGTGCCGGCGCCATGGGGTTAAGATCATTTTGGAAAATTATAAAAACTATTTTTTTTGCACAGTGTTGTCAAAGTTTAAATCTTTCTCACATATGTCATGTGTGTATATATGGACTTACACCCCAAAACACATTGTGATACTTCTCCTGAATAGGGGATACCTTGTGTGTGAGACTTTTTGGGAACCTAGCTGCATACGGGGACCTAAAATCCAATTAGTGTCTTCAGGCTTTCAAAGGCTAAAATCTATCACAGTTTCAGCAACCATAAAATTCCAGGATAGTACAAACCCCAAAATGACCCCATTTATGAAAGTACACACTCCAAGGTGTTTGCTAAGAGGCATGGTGAGTATTTTGCAGATCCCATTTGCTGCCAAAAGTTTTTGAAATATAAAGAAAAAAACATATAAAATTATTATTTCTTTTCTTTTTTCATTTTCCAAAACTTGTGGCAAAATATAAAATCTTTCATTGACTCAACATGCCTCTCAGCAAATACCTTGTGGGCTCTACTTTCCAAAAAGGGGTAATTTGGGGAGGGGTGTTTGTACTGTCCTGTCATTTTAGTGCCCCAACACATGTGTTAAGCAGACAGAAACTCAGAGCTGCTTAGAAACTAGGTAGAAGATAACTAGAAGGTAAATTCCAGTATACTGCACATACCATAGTTTGTAGACACTACATCTTTCACACAAACCAATTAATATACACTTATTGGGGTTTTTCTCACCTAAAACATGTAGCAGAATACATTTTGGTCTAAATTTATGAAGAAATTGTATTTTTTAGATATATTTTATAACAGAAAGTAGTGTTGCATGATCAAGCAATTGCCAGTTAAAGTAGCACATTGCTGAATAGCAAAAAAAATGATCTGGTCATGAAGGGGGTAAAACCTTCCAGAGGTTAAGTGGTTAATTAGATAATATATTTGCATGCAGATGTTGGTAAGAATACAGCTAAAAAAATGCTAAAAAGGCAAATATGAAAAGTAAAAAAACTTAAAATTTTAAAATAAAGCAAAGTAACAGGCAAAAACATTAGCAGAAACAGTGACTTGCATTGTTTTCGATCTCTGGCTACTGTGTATCTACTGTGTGTATAACCTGCAAAACTGCACCTCACACCTAACATTGGTCAGATAACATGCTGCAAGTACTTGCTATACCATTTAGATCCACTAGATGGCAAAAGATCATTTCAAAACTAATGTTGGCAAATGCATCATTCCAGATATAAAGTAGGTACTTTCAAAGGAAACCAGTCATGAATGACGTATGATGCAATGACTTTAACGTTACCTTTTCTCCTAGAAAGACATGCAAAAAAAGTTGCAAATTGTTTTCAAAACGCATGAAAAAATGTGCATCTTAGGCTCAGAAATTACTTATATCCCCCATAACATATATTTTTTGAAAGCAGAGAATCTGTACAATAAAAAAGTATAGCTGAAAATGTTTGTGGCGCACAATATTTACACATCTGAATTTCAAACCTATTTTTGTGTGTGGTGCACACAAACTAAATATAATTCACATATAAGATTTTGCCGAGTAAACACATACTAGGGGTTATTTACTAAAACTGGAGAGTGTAAAATCTAGTGTGATTCTGCATAGAAACCAATCAGCTTCTAGGTTTTATTGCCAAAGCTTGATTGAACAAGCTGAAGTTAGGAGCTGATTGGTTGCCATGCACAGCTGCACCAGATTCTGAGTGCTCCAGTTTAACTGTGTGCACCTGTCAAACAACTAAAATTTGGAAAAATGTTATCAAATACTCACCATATTGTTCATTTCTTGGTGTTTGTCCATGGAAGCATACTAGTGATAGTATCTACTGTAACCCATTGAAATGTTATTACATGCAATACATTAAGATGGACATTATATGGCGGTGGCCTGCCATTCAGGGTCACTCACATGGACAGAAAAGCCCTCTGGAACTTGTATGCTGAATATTTCTCAGCTGGTGAGCAGGGTGATCAGGGACTACATTTCCCAAGAAAGGTGTGGGCGGGGGCACATAAATATCAAAGCCTGGGAGATTGGCCAAGGGAGTGCAGGGTTAGACTGAAGGAAAAGGAGGTATGTTGAAGGCTGAAGTGCTGAACTAGGCTGCAGAGCCAGGAGTTGGAGAGAGAGCAAGAGCGGAAAGTGCCTACTGACCACCTGGTCTGCCATGCTGCCCAGCAGACCAATCTAACAGAAGGAGACCAGACAGGATGTTGACTCTGAGCCGGAGGGCCTGTGGACTGACCCCATCTACAGGGAAAGACAGACCACTGCAATCTGCCACACTACTTTGATTGGGTGAGAGAGACCCATGCACCCACTAACCAAGTGAATACTGACAGTTGCCACCTCAGCTATCTACCTACACATAGTTGTGAACATTACATATAGTTGCCCCAGTTTGCAGGCCTAGTTCTCCCAGCCGCCATCATTGGGATACATCTGCATTACAGTTTATCGTACAAGATGACCGTAGGACATACAGTTGCAGGCCAGGATACAGCAGTGCCAACTGAAACAAGTTTCCCTTTTTCAACAAAACAAAATTTCTACTACTGTTAATTTTGCCTTTGATATTCAGAGGGAGTTGTCTTTGTCCATAGACACTTATACCAGTTGTTACTATTCATTACTTCAAGCCTGCCCTATGTTTAGTGCTTTAAAGGGGACCCCACACTATGTTACTACCACCAAGAGGAAAAGTGTTAAATCTCCCCTTTTCCCGCTCTATGGAGATGTTCCCGATCCGAGATTGGCTGACATGCTTGGGCAGAGTGGCAGAGATGGAGGAACTCATCGAGTCATCACGCGACAACCCAACTAAATTTTCTCATACTTGGGCCTGCTGGCTCCACTTCCAATCGACCTCCGAATACCTCTCAATTATGGGCTCTCCTCCTTGACAGCTTTCGACCTTGGGACCCCTATCCGCTTTCTCAATTGACTTGCCTATGTGACCTCCCCCCTTGGAACTGGGTGCCCTTCTCTTTAATATTGGATAAAGGAAACGTTACTTGCCCACTTACCTGGCCCCTGATGACCTGAATACAGCCTCGATCCCTTTGAATTGTCCCTAGGCCCTGCCCCAACCCCTTTCTTTTTTTTTCCCTCTTTACCTCTTCTTTCTGCCCCTACCCCCCTCTTAGTCACCTCCTGCCTGCGACTCTTCCCACCTTGCCCTTTTTCTGCTATCTTCCTATTTCTCTTCCTTCCCCACAAACTTACACTATCATTTGCACTTTTCCACTCACGCTCTCTTGACTTTTTTTTTGGATGATCTTGATAGGAACACATCATTTTGGTAAACAATTCACATACTCCTTGACTTAATATAAGGCCACTATAGATCCTGATCCACAATCCCCTCCTACATAGATTTACCTGGTTCTGTGTCACACTCCATCTCTCACTGACCTTTTATCGACTCTAGGGTATACTGCTGCTAGATCAGTTAGAGATCCTTGCCTTCATGAGAGCCCCTTACCCAAAACTGCAACTAGGAATAGCCTTTCATCTATGTTATTCAAGAGGTAATCCCCTGCATTCCCCATTCTCTCATCTCGTTATTCATTGTGAATTTCGGACAAATTGTACCATCTAAAACATTGTGTCTTTCTATCTAACTTGATCATTGTGATCCTATTGCTATCTCCTCCATGTTGTATTTTTGATTTGTTTTGTTTTTTTGCCTACTAATAAAAGTTATGGAATAAAAAATAAATCTCCCCTTTTTCCTCACTATCTTTGTGTTGCCATCCTGAGGAACTACACAATGGTGTCCGTTTATGAACCAGCAGTAATAGATCGCTGCTCAGTTCTTCGGCATTCTCAGAGAACACAGTTCTCCTGTGAATGCCGTTTATGAAGCATATGTAGATCAGTTCTCCAAACGAAGGCAGAACGGTCTACAAACGCTGGAAAACAGCTGATTTTACTATAATCTCGCAAGAATTACAGTAAAAGATCAGTTTACTAAGCAGAGGTAAATTATCTCTGCTTAGTTTTTGGTCCCTCTGATTCTCCAGCTCTGGGCTGGAGAATCTGGAGGGAAAACACAAATCTCCAGAGAAGGGCTGAATATATTCTCCTGGGTGTCATAAACTGTGAATGACCAGAGAATAGCTGCGATCCTCTGAATCTCAGCTATTCTGTGTGTCATAAACGGACACCTATATTGCCAAAAGTCTTGGGACACCTCTCCAAATCATTGGATTATAGTGTTCAATCACCTCCATGGCAACAGGTGTATAAAATCAAGCACCTAAGCATGCAGACTGCTTCTACAAACATTTGTGAAAGAATGGATCACTCTCAGGAGCTCAGTGAATTCAAACGTGGTACCGTACTAGGTGGTCACCTGTGCAATAAGCCCATCTGTGAAATTTCCTTGCTACTAAATATTCCACGGTCAACTGTTAGTGGTATTATAAAAAAGTGGAAGCAACTGGGAACAACAGCAACTCAGCCACCAAGTGGTAGGCCACGTAAAATGACAGAGTGGACTCAGCCCATGCTGAAACGCACAGTGCTCAGAAGTCACCAACTATCTGCAGAGTCAATAGCTAAAGACCTACAAACTTCTTGTGGCCTTCAGATTAGCACAACAACAGTGTGCATACAGCTTCATGGAATGGGTTTCCTTGGCCAAGCGGCTGCATTCAAGCCTACCAAACCAAGTACAATGCAAAGCATCGGATGCAGTGGTGTAAAGCATGCAGCCACTGGACTCTAGGGCGGTGGAGACATGTTCTCTGGATTGAAGAATCATGCTTCTCTGTCTGGCAATCCGATGGATTTGGCAATTGCCAGGAGAACGGTACTTGCCTACCTGCATTGTGCCAAGAGTAAAGTTTGGTGGAGGGGGGATTATGGTGTGGGGTTGCTCTTGAGGGATTGGGCTTGGCCCCTTAGTTCCAGTGAAGGGAACTCTTCCCTCAGCATACCAAGACATTTTGGACAATTTCATGCTCCCAACTTTGTGGGAAGAGTTTGGGGATGGTCCCTTCCTGTTCCAACATGACTGCTCACCAGTGCACAAAACAAGGTCTATAAAAGACATGGATGAGCGAGTTTGGGGTGGAGGAACTTGATTGGCCTGCACAGAGTCCTGACCTCAACCCGATAGAACACTTTAGGAATGAATTAAAGCGGAGACTGCGAGCCAGGCCTTCTCGTCCGATATCAGTGCCTCACCTCACAAATGTGCTTCTGGAAGAATGATCAACATTCCCATGGACACGCCTTATCTAAACCTTGTGGACAGTCTTCCCAGTATAGTTGAGGCTGTGATAGCTTCAAAGGGTGGACTGACTCAATATTGAACCCTACAGACTAAGACTGGTATGTCATTAAAGTCCATGTGCGTGTAAAGGCAAGCGTCCCAATACTTTTGCCTATATACTGTATATTCCAAACCTAAACTCAACTTCATACTAACTGTGGCACAACAAGCGCAGAAGACACTGTAGTGCTCTTAAAGGGACATTGCTCAAATTCTAAATGTGAATTCTCTTTATAGCACATCTAATCCTTGTCATCTAGTTCTGAGGGCCCACAGTGAGCTTTTCTGTTTTTTGAAAGTTGTTCCTGTTCAGTGGAGATTGAAAAGTCCTCTCAGATTGGAGGCATTGGATTATTTCTGAAAGCAGGTCTGTTAACAGTTATTGTTGCTTTACTGTGAATGTCATTACTTTTGCTCACAATTGCCAAGAGTGATTATATTTTCTGTATATATCAGTGTCATTTTGTTATTTTTGACCAAGTTACCTTTAATTCCAATATAAACTTCATATTAGTATATACTAACTTGTGTTTGAATCCATTCTACAGTTGTGATTTATTGTGATCACAAGAATGTCAGCAGAGGTTGGGCCTTCAGCAAGAGGTCCAGGTTGACAGGGAACCCAAAAATTACTAAGCGACCCTTAAGGAGGTAGTGCTAGAGGTTGAGATAATTACTCCGCAACATTCAGTATACCAAGACCAAGGGTTGGTCTGTATACTGCTATATATAGACACCAGGAAAGAAAAAAATTATGAATGGTATTTGATACAGTTTTCTGTTAACTAGTTGACAGCAAATGTAATGCTGACTCAGTTAACATTTATTAGTATGGGACACAGACAACTGAACTGTCTTCTTGCCAAGGCACCAGGTACTGCCCGAGGAAAGTAACAGCTTGCTGCTCCGGAGATCATCTCTAAGGAAATTCTTTCTCAGTAAGCCCTCACCATTGCTGAAGGAATCTGCTTGACAGCCCTGTACACCTTCTGGATAAGTATGAAAATTCATCATTATGAGCCTTTGAGGTCACTTCCTTCACCCTAAATATAAATCTATTTTGTAGAAAATGCCTCATAGAAAAGCATGTCCAAGACTCTGAATGCTAGGAGATATGCACTTAAATCCTGGATCAGCCCACTCACTCTAAGATAGAAACCTGAAATCACCTTAGGGATGAAATATTGGAGTGGTCAGAGCACCAACTTGTCCAGAAAGAATAAGAAAATCTCTGAGACTCTTCTCTATGAGGTTATGGTCACAAAGATGGCTGCCTTAGGAGTAATGTTCCACAAGGAAAAATATTCTGTAGGAACAAAGAGTTTACGAGAGAGTAGTACATCTAGCACAGTAGTAAGTTCCCATTGCTAGAAGATATTTGTTATGGGGCCATAATTTTAGACCTGATTTTATAAACTGTTCAATCAAATGATCATTTCCTCACTTCTTTTTTTTGTGTGTGTCCGCAAAGATAGCTAAAACTTGAACCTTTAAAGAATTGAGGCTGAGGAAAAGAAAGAAAGCAGCTGAATTATATGGATGAAACCTCTGCATGAAGACAAAGACATAAGTACAGAACAGCATTATACAAAAGTACCTGAAAAAGAATCCCACTTGGAAATAGTAACTTGCCCCATAACAGCAGGCCCATGTCTGTGCCCACCATGGCCTCTTTAAAACTCACAGCCAGAAGTGCATCACTACGCTGGACCCATGCTTTGTGTTGTGCCACACCAGGGAAAGTCTTGCCTACTACAAGATGGCCACCAGAGGCACAGGACGAGGCCAGCACTTGGGTCTGAGCTGGCACAGACATACAGTAGGAGGGATCATGAGTAGGAAACTGAAGGATACATAAGGTAGCACACTAAGAAGGAAAACAAAAGGCAAGGGGTGGCAATAAAAGTGAAGAACAGTAAGACAGAAACCATAAGCAGGGAAATGACAGAAGAACAAGCGAAAGCAGCTAAAACACCCAAATGTACCTGCAGAACATACAGGCCATGCCAAAAAGGATAACATGTTTCTGGTTAGAACACTTCTCTACCCCAAAAGACCTTTAGAAGGGGCTCCCCACCTCAATGGTGCATTTAGCAACCCAAGGTGTGGGTTTGTGCCTGGGAGAGGTTCAACCCAGATAGACACCGAGTAGTTGGTAGGTAAAGGACATAAATATACTGGTCTGCATGTGAAAGGTCTTGAGGGAAAAAAAATGTAGCACTAATCTGCAGGTTCACCTCAATTCCCCCTCTCATCAGAAATCCTCTCTTACTTCTAACACAAATCCTCTACCGCCAAATTCCCCCTCCAGCATAAATCCTCTCCCCCCCCCCCCCCCCCCAATACCCCTCCTGACACAAATTCCATCCCCCCTCAGATCCTCCCTTCCAGCACAACTCCTACCCTCCCAAATCCCTTTTCTAGTACAAATCCTCCCCTATCCCACCCTTTCCAGCAGAAATCCTTCCCCAAAAAATCCCTCATTCCAGCACAACCACTCTCCAGCACAAATCCTCCTCCCTTTCCTGCACAAAGCCTCTCTACCCCCCCCTCCCCCTTCCAAAATTAAATTTCTCCCAGCACAAATCTTATCCCCCACTTCTAGCACAAATAATGCCCTCTCTACTAATCACCCCCAGCACAAATCTTCCCTCCTTCTAGCACAACCTCCCCATAAACAAAAATACTCCCCTAACTCTTCCCAAATCCTCTCTCCTCCCAAATTTCTCCCCAGCACAAATTACCCCCCCCCCCCCCCCCCCCAATCACCCAGTCCCCCAGTGCAATCTTCAGACCTCAGATTAGTATGGCTCCATCCAGAGGGACATCCCTCCTCCCAGGCGTCTGTTGTGTTATGATACATGTCAGAGTGGAGCAGGTGCCTAGGGGAAGCTTCCTGCTCTCAGTTCTGAGGTGTATTATTGTGACAATCAGTCAGCATCTCTCCCCATCAGCTGCCTTCCACAATGATAGAGATAGTGATCACTGCACCTGGGACCCAGAGCACCCTGCAGGAAATGGAGGGCAGGTGTCCTGGGGGCCCAGCACTAGCATACTCTTGCAAGGTACTTTAGTAGACTCCAGCCCGGATTTGCTGGGATGCCAGGATTTAGTTGAAGGGAGGTATGGAGGAGAGAATCCTGTGACTGATTCCTGTGAGTGGTCTCAGATCACCAGCAACAGGCAGAGCGAGCAGTGGATTGGTGTTCTACAGCATTGTATGAAAACTCAAACTATTGATCAGAAAGATTGTACTTTTTATACCGATTAATATAATTTCATTAGATACTTTAACAATATTCGATCTTCTAAATGTTAGTGGGGTCAAATTGACCATTGCTTTCAACCGCATTGACAAGAAAATTTGAGGGAGCAAGATGAAACATTTTTCTTGAAAGAATGAATTTCTAACAGTGTATGTGGTTTTCGTCCAGGAAAGTCCATTTGTTCCAAAATTTAATGTTAAAAGCATATGTAATTTTGAAGCACTTTCAAATGACATTATTCAAGTCATTGGATGTAATGAGAATTTTCATACGAAAGTTCATTTCACTTATGGGCAGCACAGTGGCTAAATGATTAGCACTTCTGCCTGGAGTTTGCATGTTCTCCCTGTGCCTGCGTGGGTTTCCTCTGGGTACTCCGGTTTCCTCCCACACTCCAAAGACATGCTGGTAGGTTGATTGGCTCCTGTCTAAATTGTCCCTAGTATGTGTATGTATGATTATGAGTTAGGGACCTTAGATTGTACGCCCCTTGAGGGTTAGGGACTGATGTGAATGTACAATATATATATGTGTAAAGTGCTGTGTAAATGGATGGTGCTATATAAGTACCTGAAATAAATAAAAAAATAAATATAGGGCCAGCTTTAGACTGTAGTGTACCTCTATGAATAGCCCAGTCTCCTTTGTAGTTTTGGAATCTGTAGTCAGCTTACAGAAAAAGCAGATAAAGTCAAAAGTGTAACATGTAACCAAAGACCCATTTAGAATGTAATCAATGGAATCTGCTATTTATAGAGCGCTCGTTCCTTATTACTTTGCAAACCTGTACGGTCAAAGTCCTTAGAGGATATGGGCAGAACAAGGCAGTGGTAAAAGTATCCTGTCTGCAAGTATCCTGTGACGTCAGCTTGGCAGTGACACGGCTCACCAGCCTATGCTGATATCAGTATACTTATAAATAGTGCCAGGTCTGGGAACGGAGCTGTGAAGTGTCTGCCTAAACACAAGGTTAAGTATTTCCCTGGAGTTCAATTCTCCATCGACTTGAACTCCAAGACTTGCATAGGATAAGTGGTGCTTGGCTTCTGTTTGAAGAGCTGAGTATGGCACCCTTTCAAATTGGTTGTAACAGACAATTGTGGATATCATTAATGTTTTACAGAATTATTTGTAGTGAACAGCAATTTTAAAATACATAACTGCTATATTTGTAATTATTACAAA